TGACAGGATATAATTGGGGAGCCTTCAAGACAGGACGGGGCCCAGAGGAAAGAGAGTCCCATGCACTCCCAGATCCTGGAGCTGTGACTGAGGCCACAGAGATGCCGGTCAGTGCAGACAGTGCTGAGCCCATCTCTGGCAAAGGGTGTATCAGGTCAGGGTCGATTACCAGGTACTAGGCAGGTTACCAGGTCCTGGGCAGGTTACCAGGTCTGGGGCGAGTTACTAGGTCCTGGGCGGGTTACCAGGTCTAGGGAAGGTTACCAGGTCTGGGGCAGATTACCAGGTTCAGGGCAGTGTACCTGGTCCAGGGCAGGTTACCAGGGGAAGCCTGGATTTGAAATATGAAGCTCTGTGCAGTATAGAAAGCTATCCCCTATTTTTCTTCACCATCTGAAGAGCCCTGCACAACACACAGACTCCTGCAGTTTAATGGCTTCTGGGCTGGGGGAGGAAGGGAAGAGGGAAAGTTCAAGGAACTGAATCAGCATGGGGGATGGTGTCTGCAGGAATCTGCTTCCTCTTCCCTCATAAAGAAGAGCAGGAAGAAGCACCTGAGGAGAATCCACCCAGGACCTCAGACAGAAACTTAGCAATGGAGTTCCTGATGGGGGTGAAACTACAGGAAGAGCACAGTGGTCACAGTGTTTGGGGACTGAATCACAGCTCGTCAAATGCTGCATGGCTTGGGCTGAACTCCACAATGGGGGACACCTCTTCCCTTATCAGCTGCGAGAAGCCTGTGCAGTGCCAGCCCTCCCTGGCTAAGCTGCTGTACTACATTATAAGGAACCACAACTCTTCCTGATAAAACCCAGCCAATGACTAAGTCATCAACAGCAGCACATCTAACATTGGGCCCATGCTGCTTTCCAGGTACTTTTGGAAACATCTGAAAACAGTTCTGAATGTCACAAAGTAGAAGGGATTATTGCATCTTGTGGGCAGAGAGCAGAAATGCCATAGCTCACAGTGCACAGGACAGCCACCTTCAATAGAAGATCCTTCAAAACACTGTCTCACCTGTGCCATGGTCTTAAAATCCCACTGCATAAATGAGCCTATTACAATGATAAACAGGCATCTCCAGGTGGACAGAACTGAGCAATCACCTCTCAGATGCTGACTGAAGAGATGGCACTGCAGTGGCAGAGCGGTGGGAGTTGTGCAGGTAGTGATAGGGGTGTGGGTTGTGTCCAGCCTTGGAAATCCCAGCTGCCCAGTTGTGCCCCACCTGCATGAGACAAGGGCAGTGTGGCAGCCCTCTCTACCTCATGCATTCCTTCTCTTCCTTTGGTTTTGTAAGCTCTCATCGGAGTCCTCTAGCATTTATTTCTGCAAGAGGAGAAAAAGTATTCCAGGGACTGGACTGCAAGAAGTCTTACCACATTTGTGATTGTTCAGTGTTGTTCCACAGATTTAATTTTTTAATTAATTTTTTGCATGAGCTGCCCTCTGTCTTTCTGTTGTTTCATGGAGAAGTTTAAGAATTCCATCTTGACATTTCCAAGAAAAAAGAATGTTGTTTATAATGATAGCTGAGGCCCTGAAAGAAGAGTTCTGCACAATTCCACAATGTAAACTAACGATCTCTCCCTGCTCCTAATTTTCCAAAAGTGATCCACTTAGACATACGTTTTTCTTTAAACAACAAGGAAATGCATTAATTATTTTGTTTTCCAGGTTTCTGGCAGGTGGTAGTTACATTTCGGATTAAAATCTCCAGGGTGGAGGTGAAGAACACAGGCCTAGAGAAAGGGAGGCACATAAACACTTGCACATTAGCAGTTCTGTTACAGATCTGTCAGTGAGGAAAGAAAAGTGGAAGCAAGAGGGTAAAATTTAACTGAAATAAACTGCAGCCACCTGCGCGCCCATCTTCAGAGGAAATGATTCTGGGAAGTATTAGTCAATTTCTTGAATAAGGGTTGGTGCCATCTTTGTTTCTTGTGGTTTTACCAAAGTCTCCTTCACTGACCCGTCCCAGCCCCCAGCGTACAGTGAGGGGCAAAGGTCTCCTGCAGGTGGTCAGCTTACATCCAGGTGAGCCCATTTAGGGCAACAACACACTCACCCAAAGTAGAGGAACCTGGAAAATTTTTTATGCTAGTGGTTATGGATTTCAAGCCAAGGGAGGCATTTATCAGGGTGGATTTTACTGGTGACTAATTCCAGAGCAGCTCAGGAAGCTGAGTTAGTGGAGCACCGAGGCGCAGAGCCCTAGCTTTATGGCCACTTCCTCAGGGACAGGGAGGAGCTCACAACAGTGGTGCCAGCTGGTCAGGGGCACATGAATCACGTCACCTCTAAAGGAGAACCGAGCAACAGGAAAACAGAGAAACCCCCTCATTTTTACTATGCATGTATATTTGGAAATGCTGCTTGTGAATGTGCTGCTTGTAACTGAGGACATCGCTGCAGTTAAAGCCCACATGTGTGAGCTCACATGCTCAGGGTCTATGTGTTTTATATTTGCTTAGAGAGAGAAATTCTCCAGTACGGTATCATCTTTTATCCAGAACTGTAAAGGTTTTTTTTGTGTGTGATTTTTAATTACTTATCTAATAGGTGCATATTTGTGTTAAAATGTTTAAAAATAAAATGAATATATATTTTTTTTAAAGAACAGTAGTGGACAACACTTTGCAAAAGGCTGCAGTGTGTCCAACAGGCCCACACTGCTTAACCTCCTGACCTCTCCCTTGGTAGACCGGGGCTCCTGGAAGCATCAGAGTGGAACCTGGCTGTGCCCTTTTCTGTCTAACTTCACTTGGGCTCACGCCTCGGAGGACGGCGTGGAGTTTTATCCCTTTCAAAAGTCACAGATATGTGAATCACTGCTTAGCAGCTTCCCATCTACAGCAGAAGGTTCTGGATGACTCTGGTAATCATTCCTGATGCATCTCATCGGATATTTAGCTATTAATGCAGCCAAAATGAGCTCATCTCGGCTGATTTTACACAGATGCCTGGCACGTCACGACTGAGTCATCCACAGAAGCAGATGTAGCTTTTGTAAAATTAGTACCATCGAGGTGCACAAGCCTTGCATATTACTTTAGGGGTACACTTGGCTCATTGTGAACTTTATACACATAGCCATAAGCCCCCTCGCAGTGATCAACTTTGCTCTCTTTAAATGACTGTGAAATATGATTTACTCTTAACTGATCACATTTAATCTGGAAAATTGACATAATTGGTAGTCAAATCAAGCTAGCTTGTTTTTAACAGAAAGAAAACTTTCTCCCTTCTAATTAAAATGTAGCTTCCTAGCTCTTGATTATCTCAGGCAGCTGTGAGGAAATCTATCTGCCCACACTTAAAACTAAATTGTATTGAAAGGACTTCCTTTGTCTGGAGAATTTTGTCTGTGTCTTGTACTCTGAGAAACTACTTTGAAGATAACAATATGCAGTGTATTAACTATTGCTCTTCTCCCATTATTTTGTTCTGAAATTTCATTTTATTTTTCCATGAAACATCTACCTTTTCTCACATAAAAATGTCCTGTTACATGCTTATGGATTGATGTAACTTAATGATAGTAATGCTTATTGCAAAGCATTCCTTTCTTTAGAGTAGACATGGGCAGAAAGGAAACTGAAGTTTAGACTGAGGAAGTAGCTAATCTTCCCCTGCATTCTCTCCTCCTGGTGCCGACACCTGTAATACCAGCACTCTGGGAGCCTGAGTTGGCAGAACCATAAGCCAGAACCTTGCTTGGGCACTTAGGAATTTAGGAAGATCTTGTGTCAAAATAAAACCTAAAAGCTCTGGGGAGTAGCACGGTGGGAAGAGCCTGGATCGTCTGCATCCCTTCCTGAAGGACAGCTTTCCGCATCCTCTCCTAACCCACAGGAAGCTCCACTGTGATTAAATTTACTCTAAGATCCTCCTCATCCTTCAATCCCCCCTCAGCAACATCCTCACCTTCTCCCTGTTTACAAACCAAGCCTCAGTTCTCCCGGGCTCCTTTACACCCAGTGGGTCCACCGTGACTGGTCCAACCCAGTGCTCCCACACATTTTCGAATCCAGAACCCTTCCATGGGCTGGGGACAAGCTGTGGGTCACTCCTAGACAACAGGACACAAGAGGTCAGACCTCGTTGGCTCTGGGGACAAAAATCAGCTGTCTGATTAAAACCAACACTGTGTGTGTGACTCTCTTGTCTCACATCTGGTAAATGACACTGCACTGTTTGTGGAGCCTGAAGCCTGGATCCACGGCAACTGTTTTGCCACGCGAGGAATCGAGTCTTAGGGAAGAAAGTAGTAAGCTGGGTGTGTAGGAGTCCTAGTGGCCAGGAGGGAGCAGCAGCTTCACTGGCTTGGAATGTTCCCAAGGAAGTGGGGAGCACACTTCTGGGGTCTCTAGGGGTCACGGAGGCCCAACTCTGGGTTTCTGTGCTGTCATGGGCCCCCTCCTCTCTTGCCTTTCTCCCACTCTGCTTCCAGGCCACCGTGACCTAAGCCACTTCTCCCCGCCACACCCTTCTGCCATGGTGGCTCTGCTGTGAATCTGGCTGCTCATGCATGGGGACCCCTTAGCCATGACTCTTCACACTCCTCCTTTTGCTGTTTGGGACTATTTGCTTCATTTCTGTTAATTATTATAAGCCCAGGGATTAATAGGTCATCAGAATTTACTCACCTTCTTGTTTTTCTCTGTGTACCCAGTCTAAACCTCTCCACCCGCTTTGCCTTTCCACCTGTCAAGCTTGCGGTAATGCTCTGTGTTTTCATGAGATTGGACTTTTTAGATTCCACATTTCAAGATTGTGCAGAGTTTTTTTTTTTTTTTGTCTCTGCCTGGCTTACTTCACATCTAATATCCTGCAGTTTCTGAATGACTCCATCCAGTCTGTGGCCGCACAGGACCTACCCAAGGCCTTCTGCCGTAATTTCTCAGTGCATGCACCCGTGGCTGGACACCAAGTGTGTCGATGTCCATGTCGATGTCCGCTCCCGGCCGGCAGGAAAGACACACGACAAGGTCTGGCGGTGGTCAGGCTTTTCTTTATTCTCTCCTTATACAGTCTGCCCCGAAGCCTCTACCGGTCCGCTCTCCGCGGCTCCTTCCGTGCTTCAGTCTGCCCCGAAGCCTCTACCGGTCCGCTCCCCGCGGCTCCTTTTGTGCTTCAGTCTCTCTCTCTCTCGGGGGTGGAGGCACTGGCTATATATAGGATTAATAGCTAGGCAGACTACCCTGTGAGGCGGGAACTTAGTGGGGTGATAAGAAACAGGTGCCACACAGGCGGGCTCGATGAGAGGGGTAATCTAGCCCAGGCTTTTGTACTTTCCCACAGGCCTCGCAATCACCGCGTCTGATGACTTGACAGTGCCACGGCTCCCAACATCTCCCCCTATTTTATTTTAAATGATGGCTACGCGCATCGCAGCCCGTCCTGGATAGAGTGCAGAGGCCTATGCCCCGAACTGAGGCCCACCGTAGGCCCTTAGCGTAGACCCTGGTCGGCCGTCCCAGGGTCCACCAAGGCCCCGAGGCCCTCGTCCTTTTTTCTAGGGCCAGGAATGAACCGGACGGAACCTGGTTGCACATAGGCATGCACTCATTTCTCTCCACGAATCCCCTCGGAGAGAAATTTATCTAACAATCCAGCGGCTTTCGAGCGGAACGGGGTAGGGCCTGGCTTAGGTTGAGTCGTGCTGGGGAGGCACGCTCTTACCCGTCATTGACTCACCCACCCTGCTACATGTTGTTGTCTAGGGAGGAGAATGTGGGAAGCCTGTCACTTTTAAACGCGGTCGTAGGCCATGCGAGCGAGCCATGCGTATACAAGGGTAGCACATAGGGGAGCAAGCCGTTCCAGGCCCCCAAAAAGGGATTGTCCTGCAGTTCTTTTAGGGCTCATCTTGTTGTTGGGTCTGCGGTTGGCCTCTGGTGGAACAGGCCTGATCTTCAGTCGAGGGACTTGTCGCGTCAACCTCTCTGGGACCCACATTGGTTCTCGTCCCGATTCCTGCGGAAAGACACAAACCGCGCCTCGGCTTCCTCTTTTGTATCTCTGCCCTCCTTGACGGACCCTTCTCGGTCGGGAGCTTCCTCACTGTGCCTGTTCAAACACCTCGCGTACTTCTACAAGTTCTTGAGAGCTCCCCCCGTAACTACCCTCACTCTTTAGGCACGTGTGTATCATTTCCCACAATGGACGAGCAGAGACTGAAGCTCTACCCTCCCGCTCTGCTAGGGAAAGGTCTCTGCCCAACTTTTCCCAGGAGGGCAGGTTTACATGCCCTGTAGGCAGAAACCAGGGAGCAAAGCTGTCAATCTCTGCAAGGAAATTTTCTAAAGTCTTACGCCCCACCTTGAGGTCCTTGGACTTTAGGAGTCTCCGAAGGACCAACACCAAGGCTGTGTATCTTTACTTGGCATGTTTCCCATTTTTAATATATCTTCTGTTATTTTTACTTCTATGTTTATGTTTTACACTCTTTTATTACCTTAAGTTCTGGTGTTATGTTTCATACTCACCGCGTGAGGCCCAAGAAACCCGCCACTTACGCGTGAGGTTGAGAGGAGTCTACAAACCCTGTAGGTGCGCGCCACCCAGGGCCCAGGCTTATCCTCTACTCACCTGTCCTGCAGCTGCAGCACTGTGTAGGAGAATGCAGTCCACCGCCGCGTCTCGGGGTTGATCAATCCCCGTGCGGGCCACCAAATGTCGATGTCCGCTCCCGGCCGGCAGGAAAGACACACGACAAGGTCTGGCGGTGGTCAGGCTTTTCTTTATTCTCTCCTTATACAGTCTGCCCCGAAGCCTCTACCGGTCCGCTCTCCGCGGCTCCTTCCGTGCTTCAGTCTGCCCCGAAGCCTCTACCGGTCCGCTCCCCGCGGCTCCTTTTGTGCTTCAGTCTCTCTCTCTCTCGGGGGTGGAGGCACTGGCTATATATAGGATTAATAGCTAGGCAGACTACCCTGTGAGGCGGGAACTTAGTGGGGTGATAAGAAACAGGTGCCACACAGGCGGGCTCGATGAGAGGGGTAATCTAGCCCAGGCTTTTGTACTTTCCCACAGGCCTCGCAATCACCGCGTCTGATGACTTGACAGTGCCACGGCTCCCAACATGTCCATACCTTGGCTGCTGTGAACAGTGCCTCATAAACTGAGAGTGGGGGTGTCTTGTCAGCCCTTTCATTTCTTTTCCTCTGGACGCACACCCGGTTGTTGGATGGAGCTAAGCTTTGAAATATTTTGGGGATCCTCCCTAGTGTCATCAGTAGCATTTGTACTAGTTTATCTTCCCAAGAACAATATATGAAAACTCACCCCGCCTTGCACATCTTCTCCAATATTCATTGTTGTGTTTTTGATTGGTTTTGTTTTTTGTGGAGGATTTTTTTGAATTTCTGATAATTCATCCTGATTGGGCTGGAGGTCTATTACACTGGTGCCACGATTTTTATTTTTCCGATAATAAGCCATATTGAACACATCTTGAAACACAGATCCCCTGAGCACTGCTTTAACATTACCACATGAATTTTGATATATTGCTTCTTCATTTCTGTTCATTGCACGCTACCTTACAATTTCTGGCTTGAGATCTTCTTTAAAATTGTGTTATTTAATTTCCAAGCATTTATGGACTTATTTTATATTTCCATTTTGACTACGAAATGCAACTGTTATGTTATTTGAATCCTTTCTCCAATTTATTGATACATCTCTTAGGACCCAGAGTTTGGTTTGTAGTGATAAAAGCTCCATCCATGCCTAAGACGAATGTTTATCCTGCTCTTTGGATGTGGAGCAGTTACCAGATGTCATTTGTGTCTGATTGATTGTGTTGCTCAACTTTTCTACACTTTGCTTATTTTCATGTGTCATTCAACTAGTAAAAGAGGAGCATAGTTTTCTCCCTCTCTTTCGCTCTCCCTCTCTCTCTCCCTTTGATTTGTACATAGACCTAATTTTGACTGAAGGGATCATTGAGTTTGAATTTCTTGAGGATCACAGGGTGACTTCAGAAAGCTTTCTAGTCACAGATTCCAGGTTTGTTGGACCCAAATTTCCGGACTTCTGGCTGATCTGTTAGCTCCACGCTGATGTGTGTCAGCCTTTCCTGTCTTCATTTTCTTCCTGACCATAAAGTATAATTACATCACATACTCATGCCATTCAATAGTTTTAGATTAGTATTCTTAATTATGAAAACGAATGAGGAAAATATTTTATACTTAACTAAGTGATATAATTATTTAATTTGATTTTTACTTAGAAGATCTATAATTGCTCCCTTCACAGTTAATTATCCACAGCTGAAAAAAAAAAAAAAAAAAAACAAACGGAATCCTACCTCATCACCAAGTTGCAAAAACCTCACTTATTAGTAATCATTTATTTTAGTAATAATTACCAAATTAAACATATCAGCTCTTAAGAGATTACAGAAGGCTTCATTAAGCCTATTTTTCCCTTTTCTGCCTTTAAAGGAGGGTGAGCTTGAGTTCCATCCACAGGGCTCATTCCCAAGGGTGCTGTGTCCCAGAGGATGTCAGCTGTGCATCAGAATTACTCAGCAGCCCATGTCTGGACAGAGCAGTGTTCTTCTGGAGCCATCAAGGAAGGAATCTCCCCAACATCTCCAAAGAAGGAAGAGCTGTCTGGTCTTCCTAATGAAATACTTGTATTTAAGTGTCACATGAGAATACTTATAAACATTAACCAGTGTGTCTGTATACATGTAAAGGCACAGGAAACATGCAATGCTCATAGAGCTCTCAAGCACCCTAAATTCTGGAACCAAGTGAGAAGTACAAGTGACCACAGGCCCAGGGGAGAGGGTGAGGATGTTAACCCAGACAGAGCCAAGCGAAGCCCTCTGCAGCCTAGATCCACCTGGTGTATCCCTGTCTGCACCTTAATGTGAAGCTGTAGTAGGGCCAACACACAAGTCCCAGTATCCCAGGGCTTTCTAGACTCCGAGGTCATCATCTTGTTAAGCAGCCTTGCAGATTGGAGCTTCAGCACTGTGAGTGAAATCAAGCAATTCCACGTCCTGAGTGACACTCAGCCTTGGGTTAAAGGAAATTAAGGACAGTATTTGCCTCTTAAAAGTCAAGTTTGTCCCAGAGTCTTTTTGGTAAGATGGGAAACAAAGATACATGTGAGAAAAGCCATATCCAGCTTCAGAGGGAGACCCATTCACTAGGCCTCCTAAACAAATCAAGACTCCCTCAACCTGGGGGCCCTTGTCTTTCCTGACTTCCTGGATGTGGTCAGAGTTTACTGAGCTTTATAAATTAGGGACACTCTCAGCATTCCACCTGTCCAGGTGGGTCTTTGGAAAGTATCTGGAATTCCCCTTGTGGTGCTTAGAGACACAGATTCTTAAGAACTATGGTAAAAACTCTGGTAAAACCCAAGCTTGGACCTTCACTTCCTGTGTGACCCGTTAGGATTGACCTTCCTATTGTGCTGTTTATCCAAAGATGGAGAAAAATTGCCATTTCTTCCTTAGCAGCTCATGGAAAGACAGGGATAAAAGAAGCTATGCCAAACCCCTTCCAAGGGCTCGACACAAACACTCATGACAATAGTATCCTTTCCTGTTATTTTTCTCAAACCAAACTGCAGACAAGGCACTTTGAAATAGGGTCTCACTGTGTTTCCTAAGTTGACCTTGAAGTATCAAGGAATCCTGCTTTAGACCCCTAAATAGCTCAGATTACAGCCAGGAGCCTGGCTGATATTATTTTATTATACTGACCCTGGCTGGGTATTATTTTTATATCACCATAAACTTTATATCACTACGAAATACACAGGTATGTGTCATTTTACATTTGTCCAAATATACAGAAAATACAACACCAAGAACAAAACTCACTGTAGCTGTGGACCCTGAGTGACAAGGAAGTGTCAAAGAAAGTTGGTCATCCATGGCGAATGGGAGGGCTGACAAGGGGGAGCACTGTGTGTGTGTGAGCATGGGGCATGTGCTGGTGAGTCTTCAGTGCCAGCTTGGTTGGTCTATAGGATTCCTAGAGTGTTCACTGGGCTGTGAGGGCAGCAAACACACCACTGGTGAGTTCACGGCTGAGTGGGCCTCTAGGAGATGAGGTCTGCTTGGAGAAAATGGGTCATAAGCTTTGAGTACGATCCCTGGCCCTTCTGCTCTGGCTCATTCCAGCCCACTCTGCTTCTGGCCTCCCTGAGGTGAGCAGCTCTCCCCCTCCTCACCCTTCTACCATGGTGGCTCTGCCGTGGATACAGTGACTGTGGACGGAAACCTTCGAAGCCATGAGCCACACAGCAGCTTCACTCTTAGGTTGCGTTTGTCAGGCATTTTCTCCTGACCGTGAGGAAGCAGGCCAAGATGGTGCTCGTATGGGACATTTCCATACCTCTGCTTTACCTGTGAATCTAGACTTGCTCTTAGAAAAAGAATTCTAACAAAATAAAACTAACTAAGTAAAAAGCTACATAACTGACACGTAAAACTCTTTTTGCTAAATGGCTCTAGGTAACCACCAACTTACGTATTTAGATTGTCTGTACTTCCTGACAGCTAAGCAAGTTTGCAAACTATGACAAGAAACTGTGTGAGAGACAAAGGAAAATCTGTGCTGAAGAAAACAGATTCAGACCTGAGGGTATGATGCTCCTTAAGGAAGGAAATGTGCAGTGAAAACAGGTAGTGGAATCTTAATCGTGTTTGAATTTCACATTGTCTGTACTTGTCTGCTTACCTCCCTGACTCTGCATCCTCTGTTACCTCTTCCCAAGGAGCAGCCTGCACCCAGCCCTGGCATGGCCTTTTACCTGGAGAAGGACTCGCTTTACTGTGATGGATGTCACAGGCGACCTTCTAGCTGCCCAAGTGAGGGTGGAAATAATCACCTTGGGACAGCGAGCTGTTGTTCTGTTCTATTCACCGTGTCAATACAGCCATTTCCGCGTGTGATTTAATACAAAGACCCTGGGTACATGAGGATGTTTAGATATCAGGTTATTCCTCCCGCAAGCTTATCACAACTTCATTGCCGGAAATGCTCTGTAATTTCCATCTTAATGTTCTGAATGATGGTCATGGCATCAGACGGAGAGCCCAGGGGTCTTCTGAGGCTGGTGCACGTTAGTGTTTTGTCATTGCAGGAAAAAGTAATGCATAAAGTTGTGCAGGATTCACCGCAGTGAGCTAAAATCAGATGTGGATCTGCCTTCGGGTCTGTTGGCCGAATATCCTTGAAATACTCTGTTCATTCATTCACTGAGATTGGCACCCATCTTGTCTGGTGTCCTAGTCCAGGAGATTTTCTACAGATGGAATGTGGACAGAACAAGCTTAAATTAAAACTGTAATTTGCTGTCTGTTTGATATGCAGATTTACCTTTACCGGCATGCTGTTTGTGTCTCCATTCTGCAAGCCTAGTATTCAGTATGCGTGAGGTTTGCAAGATCCAGTCTCGTGCATGGTTGTCACAAGGAAATTTAATGACTCTCTGACAGTGGGTCAGGACTCCACAAGAGGCGGCACCATGGCATGGATGTCTTAGCCATGGTACCTGGAGCCAGAGAAGTCATCTCTCCAAAGTTAACACACAAAGCTGAGCATAAAAGACAGTGAGAATTAGGCCAGGGAAGGGAAGCCAACATGTGTCTGTAGGCAGAGGGGACAGAATGTGAGTCACCTCTTTCAGTGATTCACTCTTCCCATGGTTTCTGCAGCATTTCCTGTGACTCATTAACTTAGTTAGTTTTTACTCATCACTGAGACAAAATACCCACTGCCCAAAGTTAGGAAAGGAAAGGTTTATTTCTTACAGCTTCTGGAGGTTTCAGCCACATTCAGTTGGCTACAAGGCAGGGTGGCATGGCTGGGTCATAGGTCATGGTGGCTGCAAACAGCAAGGAGGAAACAGGCAAAAGAGAGCAAGACACACCTTCTTCCTGCTATTACATCCTGACTCCACCACTAGGCCAGTGTAGCACTCACACCCCCAATACAAGCCCTAGACAATGAACCAATCACAAATGCATAATGCAAATGCATGAGGCCTGGGGGCCACCGACATAAACCATGACACTCATCTACCCCTTCCCAGACTTGCCCCTTCTTAGGTGTGCATTCAGGTGTCTGAGGGTCTTTTGCCACAGCCACTGGGTGCAAAATATCCTCACAATACCTGCTTCCCCTCCACAGGAGGAATTCTTTGCCCACTGTCTTGAATGGACTCAGTGCAGAAGTGACTGCTTACCAAACACTGGAGAGCAGAAGTGGAGATGGTTCCTCCCTTCTCTTCTGTTTACTGTCAGCTGATTGGAATCAGCCAAATTAGAGGAACAGACAGCAAGATCCCATTTCTTAATGATGGGGCACAAACAGGGAGGCTTAGAAGATATCTAGGTAGTAGATGTCTAGGGGGTCTTTGAGCAGGATCAAAACCTTGATGTACATAGACTGCATTGCAGATCTGAGAGGAGAATAAGACACTCCAGAGAGGAGATGTAGGGAAGCTGAGAGGGCTGACGAGGAGCCCGTGCCCACAGGCGGACCAATGACAGGGTTTGGCTGCAGAAATCCAAGCAGAAGTTTGCTGAGAGAACCATAGTGTGAAATAGGTCCTCCTTGGAATATTATTCTAATGCAGATGCTTTCACACTACAAAATCTTGTGTGTCATGATAAGAATAGCAGATGCTGAATAAATGTTTGCTATGTAGTTACACAAATGAGGCAGAATCACAAGAAATGGGGTTCATTGTTTTGCCAGGGCCAAAGTGCAGTTTTCCTGGCTCACCAGGCAGTCTTGTTGCCAAGTTCCTTAGCAGACCCAGCAACCTGTCAGTCAGTGTTGTGACATCACGGTGGGCAAAAGAACTTTATTTCTGCAGTGCGTCGAAAACTTATGTGACGACTGTTCACAAGTTCTGAAGTTACGCTGGTGCTGAAGTGTGCAGGTGGCCCACTTGCAAAACATTTCTTTCTGTTTGTGTAACTTTAACTGTTGGATTCTATATGGAAAACAGCTCAGGATCCATCCCCACCCACACAGTTTTATTGTAAGGAACTGAAGAGTGTCATTATTTTATACCAAAGTTTCTACTGCTGGAAATATTCCCAGTGGCCACTCTTTGGCTGTCTGTGGCATAGTGTGTATGTGTCCAGGACCTGAGTGGAGTCTGTGGGTTATTCTGACTTAATAAACAAATGAGTATTGGTTCTCAGAGCTCATACATGCCTAGAAATTGAGCAATCATTCTCCCTGCATGTGATCTACTCTGACCTCTTCCCACCTGTCCATTCAAATAGAGGCTAAATGAGAGGCTAGACAACATTTTGAAAAACATTGATTAGTAGTTTCCAAAGGTCTTAGAACTTACAGGATACATCCAGGAACACATCCTGTGGAGGGGCCAGAGAGAGGGAAGAGTGCAGGCCCCACAACAAGGTAGTCATGGTTCACTGAGTTTCTCAGGATATGGAGCAGCGTTCACGCGGTACTTTCATCACCGTTTTCGTGACTCTTTCCAAAGTTTCCACCCAAAGAATCACCCTCATTTTCTAAAAAGCAACCAATAAAATAAAAACCACCTTACGGGGCTGGGGATTTAGTTCAGTGGCATAAGCGCCTGCCTTGCAATCAGGCAGTCGTGATTTCGGTCCCTGGTACCAATAAAAAAATGAAAAAGATGCCAAAAAAAAAAAAAAACACCACCTTACACATTTGCACAATTGTCTAATACTACTGACATCATTTTATCTTGATAATGGGAGAGATAGACACTGAGGAATGTGAGACTGAATGAATGTATGCTGAAGTGGGAAGGTTTGAAAGAGGATGACGATACTGCAAGTCTTCCCTTTCCAGATCTTTCTGTTTTGACTTCCTGTTGAGGTTCTGTTTTTCTGGTGCTTTACTAGTGAATTTTGATAAAGAATGGGTAGAAACGTGGAGGGAATCAGCCTGCTATTTCTCTTTTCTGCAGTGGTGAGATACAGCTCTGGCTGTGCATCACATTCTCTGCATCTGAGGTGGGGAGAATAGCTGCCAGGATCTCACAGGGGACGCAGTAAGAACATTGTCTGGTGGGCTTCGACCCGAAACCAAACAGCAAGGATGGATATGTGAGCTTTCTGTCTGAAGGAACCCTTTGTGTGGATAAATCTGTATATATATGAAAAAAGGAAAAAAGACCATTACCATCTGAGGTTGAATTTGAATTCTTGCATAGGCCTTAGACAAACTTTCAAGAGTGCAAGAAGTCTTCACCAAGTGACAGCTGGTATATGCTATCCAGAAACTGTTAATAACTCACCATTAGCTGGTTCCAGAGGTGGTGCTGAAACTGGTCATCTGGATGATACAATGGTGATGCAGTGCAAAGGGTTCCTGGTATGGTTATTCGTTGCCATTCACCACTGTCGGTTGTGAGAGAATCAGAGGTTAGTTCATTTTCTATTGCTGTAACACTACATCTGAGGCTGGGGAATTCACAAAGAACAGAAAGTTTGCTTGCTCACACTTTTGAAGACATGAGGGCAGATCCCTGGTATGTTTGGCTGTAGTGAAGGCTTCCAGCCTCCATCACAATATGCTGAGCAGCATCACGGTACGAGCCCATGAGTAAGGAGACATCACACAGTGAGAAGGAAGCAAGAGGTGCTCAGGGCCAGGTCTGCTGCCAGGGAACAGAGCAGGCCTGCCCCAAGGAGGTGTACTCATCCCTCCTGGGGACAACAGTAACTCCATCACCTAATCAGGGTCCACCAGGTCCCACCTCTAGGGGGTTCTGCCCTCTCTCAGTGGTGCCAACAAGAGGACTCATTCCCTTGGGGAACCTTGGAGGAAACCGTGGAGCCACTTCTACATGGCACCGGCTCCATCTCACATGTCTGTGACTCAGTCATATGCAGAGGATCAGAGGAACAATGCACAGTGGTGGTCTTGGGCCATGTGTATGCTGGTGCATCTACTTGAAGGATTATTTCCTTCTGTTCTCCAGGACCTTTGACTTTTAGGTTTTTTTTTTAAAGGTTGGCTTCTATTTGGCCAAAACTACACAGTATAACAGGAACATAAGAAACCGGTTCCAAACTCATGGGAGCACAACAATGAGCCTGGTATTTATGATTTTGAGGTTGTTATGCTTGCGTATGTCTGAAACAAGTCACTGTAACAGAGGCATGTAAAAATGAAACAATAGTCGGTACACCTTCCTCATTTTTAATAAATGGAGAAGGCAAACCGTATGGGTCTGGGCTTGGTTTCTTCACCCTATCAGAGCTGGAGCTCAAACTCCAATATTTCTCTTCCTCTAGCTTCATGTGCCATTCACTTTCTTTACAGGGACCTCCTTCACATGCCTTTCAACAGACTCACAGCCAGACCACAGGCTATTTAAAAAACAAGTTTTCATCTTGAAAAACAAATTTTCCTCTTGAAAAACAAACAAATAAAACCCCTCAAAACAACCCTGATATTTTATATTGTCTATATAATTTAATTGAAAATAACATTGCATTCTAAAAACATTGGCAGTGTGTCCATTTTTGTTTATACTGAGCCTTTTTTTGCACTGTCTATTGATCAAACATTACATCTTGCAGTTGTGTGGTGAAAGAGTTGGAGGTTCTACTGTAGAACTATGATCATGGTAGAGGTGGTTTTTGATCATGACATTTATTATACAGATTATACACACATCTACCAGATTTGACTGGGCTGGTTGATTATGGAAACTTCCCTCCTTATTATGATGACAGCTCCTCCCAGGGAAGATCCAAAGAAAAGCCACTCACAAAACCAGGACAATGGAAGGAGACTTATCAGGCCACCAGGCAGTTGACAAGACACCAAAATCTGTAAAGACCTGTGTTTCGGGCCTCTTCTGCCCAGTCAGTGAGCCCATGCTGAAATCTCCTGTGCCCTGGTCTGTGCTGGGTACTACAGAGACCTAGTCCTCAAATCTTGAAACACCTTGGTCCAGTAAAAGATCAGAGTTTATGACCACTGGTCATATGAAGAATAGAAGAAGAAGCATCTGATTGAATAGCTGAGCGGTTAGCAGGCTGAAAACAGGAAGTAGTGTAGGCAAAACTTACCAACAGAATGGAACTAGGATGATGTAAGATGGCAAAGGTAGGAAGGCCCCAGGGCAGGCAGTGTGTGTGTGTGTGTGTGTGTGTGTGTGTGTGTGTGTGTGCATACCTGTGGGCGACAGTGAGAGTGTTCCAGCTCGAACAAGGCTAAGTGCAAATAGATATGTAAGGAGTAAATACATAGGTGATGGAATGCACTGTTATGTTTTTTCGAGGCATATGAGGCGATCAATTTCTCAAAAACTGTTCTCAGTTAGTGGACTTTTGTCTTTCACTCTGTTTTACCCCATCTATCTCAGGCAGACACTTCTCAAATAAAGCAAGTTAGAAACCTGCAGGTCCAAACGGTTCACAAACAAGTAAAGGAAATTGATAGCCTTAGGAACAGCTTCCTCTTAGCAGACCTAGCAAAGCCCCAAAGTGAGATTTCATTGGCTGACATACTTGCCCTTCATGCTTTCCCCATGAGGCGGATGCACCGATTGGTCTAGGCTTGAGTCAGGTAACTTCCCCGTGTCTGGGGTTAAAGTCAGTCTTGAAAAAACCGAATGCACTGAGGTGTGAATCACTGGAATGGGAGAAAGGAAAGTAACTCCATAAAATAAATGAAGTTCTGATACTGAAAGGAGGACGGATTATGGGAAGGCCCAAAACGGAACACGAATTTAGAATCACACAAAAGTAAATAAAGCACAGATTTCTATGGTACTATGTGATATGACGCTCTCCAGGGGTGACCTGCGGTGAGATTCCTCCTGAGAGGCAGCAGAGTGTGTGCCTGTGCCAGCCTGAGGGTGAACCAGAGAGCATGAACTGGAGACAGGCAAGTAGCTCTATACTCTGTGGCTGTGTGTATCTGGTTCTCTGCTGTTTTATCTGTAAGGAAAATAAAGTACTGAAGCACTTACCAAAGCAATGCTGCATCCTTAGGAGGGAACAGTAGCTTGGCTCAGGAAAGCTTATTTTATTGCTCACCCATTGTTTTTACAAAGCTGTTGTCAATGGACAGAAGAAGGTGCAGATAAGTGCATGGTTGTTATTCATATAACAATTGAAAGATTCTTTAAAAATACTTATAAATCAGATATACAATTTTAAGTTCTAAGGACCTATTCACACTTGAAAAGAAAAAAACAATGACCAGCGACTCCTGAGATCTGCGCTATGTTGGAATTTAGGGTTCTGGGAAACCAAGAAACCAGCTTGGCTCCCTGGTAAGTGGCTGTGGTGTGGCAGGCTGTGGCTGCCCCAGGGGGAGAACCACCAGCAACTTCTGAGATCTACGCTATATTGGAACTTAGGGCACCAGGAAATCAAGTAATCAGCTCGCCCCCCTGGTAAATGGCTGTGGCTTGACAAGCTGTGGCCACTCTTGGGTAAGAACCACTAGCGACTCCTGATATGCATGCCATGTTAGATCTTAGTGTGCTGGAAAATCAAGTAACCAGCTCGCCTCCCTGCTAAGTGTTAGTGAGCCTGCCAGCACACGGGCTGAGAATCAAACATCCCACACACCCCCCCCCCCCTTAGCAAATGGGAGATAGAGATGTGAGCATCCCTTGGGAGGTTGGCCATGTACAATACAGCAAATAAGAGGGATTTTCTTCTACCATATCTTTGAAGGCAAATATTTTTACCACTGTTTTGCTTGATTCTGATTACCAAATTCTTGATTCTTGGTGTGTGTTTGCAAGAAAGAGCTGCATTCATCCAGGGGACCTGACACATGTGTTTGTTCTTGAACCGTGGTCACTTTTACCTCCCCTTTTCCATCTCCCTTCCCAAACCTCCACAAACTCTATCTCCCTGTTCTCTATTACATATCTTTTATTTTGTTCTTTAAATTATTTCAAAATCATAACTAAACTTTTTGACAAAACAAAACAAATAGATAGACAAACACATAGATACAGACAGACAGATATTATGTCTTTCAAGGGCTGGACCTCTTTGGTGTACATCATACTATAATGAAGCCTTAAAGAATTAAAATGAATACAATGTAGAAGACACATGAATGTGGGTAAATCCCTTCTTGATGGATGAGCCTCTCCTTTACCCTTTCCTTTCCCCAGGTTGACTCTCTGGGTGGCTGGAGCTGGCTGTTTCTCAGTGGATCCCTGGAGGCTGATCCCTGTACTTTGCTGGGGCTTCCAGCACAATAACCACCTGAATGCCTTGGAGTGGCCCTCGGTACCCAGAAGAGCCTGCACTTTGCATGTGAGTCATGTTTGGAAAATGACTCTGTGGCAGCCGAATGAAGCCAAGAACCCAGGTCCTTGTTACTGCAGATGACCTTGGGAATGGTGATGGATTTGAATACACATCCATATTAGAGCACACATTTCCCTCATTTAAAAGCAGCCACAGTCTTAAAGTACAACAATCTTCCTATGTGACCAAGTCCGTCTCACAAGACTGCTCCCCCCGAAACATGCACCATACAGAAATGTGAGAGGAAACTTGGAGAAGTGTGAATAAGGTGGAGAATGGGAGGATTCCCATTCTGGTATTGTGTAATGGTTATGCACACTACCACCCCTGGAGAAGACCACTGTGGATCCCTTTTTATTTCTTACAAGTATACATGGATTCTTAGTTATCTCTGGAAGTTTGTTTTGGTCTTGTTTTTTGAAGAATGCACACTGGTCTGGACCATCCCTAATGGATACCAGACTTGATTAGAAGCATCAGGTCAAGAAGAGAGGAACTCACCTGAGAACAGTGAGTGAGAATCACCTGTGCACATCAGTGTGAAATTCATTCCTTGGTAAAATAACTCAGTGAAGAGAAATCTACACTTCGAGCCACAGAGGAGCAAATGGCTGCAGTGTAGACAATAAGGTGTTGCTAGAACAAAACTCCAGCTCTGTTAAACCAGCAGCAGCTTTTTGGCTGGAGCAGATGGCCGTGAGTGTCCTCTGTAGTCCTCCCCACATGGACAGCCCTTCTCCCTACTGATAATTGTCTCTAACTGCAGGTCGAGGTCCTGCCAGCCGGTGAGCCCACATGCAGAGCTCCCCATCACATGCAGAACACACATGTGATCCAACCCAGTCATCTTCTCAGCAGGAGTGTGTCTGCCCCTAATATACTTTAGTCAACAGGAGATGTCCCCTGTGGGTAACAGTTTGGGACTATTTGTTTTGCTCCAGGCATTAGAGGTGGGCCCTGTCCTCACCTCCCAGTGTCACTGTCTCACCAATCCTGTGAGATGGCTGAGGACATCCAGGCAGAGTGCTTATTACCTACTCCATGACAGAATTCCCCAGGAGCAGTTCTGGGCTTGGTGCACTGGCTGCACGACCTCAGAGCAGAGTGAATCACAACTGTGTTTTGCCGGCCTTGTTCACACGGGGCTTTCTAGGCTGCCACCTGCTGGTACCAAGCCTTTCCCCCTTCATACCATGTGCTAAGCCAGCACAGCCTGCAGTATGAAGAAGGTTGCATCTCAAGGGCAAGTGACAGTCATGGGCAGAGAAAGGGGAGCAAGCAGTGTTTTTCTGTGCCAGCCCCACTGCAGGCTGCAGAATGGGCATTCACCAGGCCAGCAGAAGTGCTGGGCTGATGCAGAGCATATCCCAGCACTCCTATCACTGAGTCACATCCCCACCGCTGTGCTGAGCCATATTTAGCCTCAGTGCACACTTAATGCCCCTAGACTGAGTTTAAGCCGTGTCCTTTCCATTATGGAGGTCACCGTCAGCAGGTGAGATGTCAGGACACTGCAGGTCCCTAAGGCACCTCTGATAGAGCCCGATTAGCTCTGGCCTCACTCATCCCACCACTCATGTATGACTCCCAGCTCCTTCTCAGGTTAATGAAGGTGTAGGAGCTTGACTTCCCCAGCAGCGTTTCCCCATGATTTGAGCTTTCTCACCCAATACTGAGTCAAATTTATGAAGTGCAAACTACAGACCCATCTGAAACTTCTGTGCTTTTGCTTTTATCTTTCACTGTGATGTGGTATTCGGATAACAGCAGGATCTAACCAGTTTGTTTCCCTCTTAAGGAACAAACTGTATAATTTCTAGTGTGCAAGAAGATTTGGGAACCTGTCTGTATTTCTACTCCCTGCAGCTTGGTGGTGCTTATTGTGTTTGGAGCCCCAGGGATCAGTAACTTGGAAAGCGACCCACAGTCCCTCTGATGCCTGCAACATGTGGAATAAAATTTCGGTTCTGTTGTCCATTTTCTGTTAGTTGGTTCTAAATACCCTGTAATACTTTTACCCTCTTGAATGATTTTATACTTTCTTGTTATGTTTGATCGTATACGAAGGCATACTCAAATATTTCAAGGAAAGGGACACTGATAACTATTGTTATGTCGTGTTTTCCTGTGGTGAAACATTATGTTGCTTAAATTGTTCTGTTCTGACTTGTGTTATGTCCTCTTTCATCTTAATCTCCCCTGTTTTTTATATGTGTATTTTTAAATAAAATAATTCAGTTCTCCCCACCCAGCCTCATCATAGCTTCTTATAGGAAACCCTCACCCTCTGTCTCTCTCTGTCTCTGTCTCTGTCTCTGTCTCTGTCTCTCTTTCTCTCTCTCTCTCTCTCTCTGTCTTTGTCTCTCTCTCTGTCTCTGTCTCTGTCTGTCTCTGTTTGTCTGTCTCTCTATCTCTCTCTCCTCAAACTTCATATGTTGATATCTTTCAAGCTTATGTTACACTACATTTGTTTTTCCTGAATTGAAGCTATAAAAACAAAAGGACTCAAGGTGCTAAAGGGTAAAGTTACAGTTTCTTGTTGGAATTCAGCCTTTCTGAAAAATATTTCCACACTTCTGTGAAAGTACTTTGATCTCCAGGAGACAAGAAGAGACAGCAGGCCCTCAATTATAACATTTCAGGGTTGATTGAGAGCCGCAGCTCAGTCACTGATACAAAGACAGTGCCAGCAGAAACCTATTTTCCTCGGTGAGGGATGCTGGTCAGTGAGTGTGGCCTCAGAGGTTACAAAGCTCCTGCTAGCACTGACCTTGTGAGCTCCCACAGGGAAGAAATAAACCTGAGACACATGGTGGTATTGGATTGAGATTTCCCGAGGTGAGACAGAATTCTGCACTGTACAGGCAAGGCATGGACTTCTTTTCCTTGACTTTTTGTTATTTCCATTTCTCTTACACAGACTGCTTTGCTGTGGCCAAGCAACCACAGGGAAAGGGAAGAAAGGGTATTTCACAGTACCAGAAGAGCTCACAGTGAGACAGCAAGAAGAATCAACTGTTCAAACACTATGAGCAGGATTTGCAATGAAAGAAAGGCACCCAGGGGAACCTCGCGGCTTCCAGGTGCACTGGAGCAGCTCAGTGAGTCTGGGGTGCTGGCATCTGCCTCCCTGTTCCTGGCTGTCCTTGGTAGGCTATGGAGTTCTAAGCAAGCAGGTGGGCGCCACCAGTTCCAGAGGCCCCATGGCCTGGTGTAAGTGCCCTGCACACTTTCCCTTGAGTCCAGCTTATTTGGGACCCTCATAGCTTCCAGGTGCACTGGAGCAGCTCAGCCCTGGCACCCACCTTCCTGTTCCCAGCTGTGCTTCGTGGACTGTGGTGTTCTAAGCAAGCAGGTAGGCGCTACCGGTTCCAGAGGTCTCGTGGCCTGGCGTAAGTGCCCCGCGCAGTTTCTTCCGAGTCCTGCTTGTTTGGGACCCTCTCTTGGCCCTGGCCAGGGAAGCTTGTGGCTTCTGGGTGCCCTGGAGCAACACAGCAGGTCCAGGGAGCTGGCATCAGCCTCCCTGGCTGTGCTTGGCCAACTGTGGAGTGCTAAGCAAGCAGTTGGGCGCCATTGGTTCCAGAGGCTGGTCTTGAGCTGGCCTATTCCACCCCCAGTGACTCTCTATCAATCCAGGGAACTGGGTGCCAGAGTCCCAGGAGCTGAGGGCATAGAAAAGGATTTCCAGCAGACCCTGAAGAAGCCTTAGAATAACACTTGAAACACTTGAAATCTAGAAATATAGGAAAATGACAAAACAAAAGACCAAATTACAATCTCAAACCTCCAGCCCATCCAAAGAAACATTAGGAGTGATGTATATGGAAGAAAATTATGCCATCCACCTCAAATATCAGACATAATAGCAACTGAAATAAATAAGCAATTCTGGGAAGCTTTAAAGGAATTCAAACTAGAAATAATCTCCCAGGTAAAAGAAAATAAAAGAAATGCTGAATATATCTAAAGAAGACACAGTTAAAAAATTGGAGGAACTAAACAAAAAGATAGAATCCCTAGATGAGCAATATAAGAAACAAACAGACTACATAAAGCAGATGCACAGAGATATAAAGGAAATCAAAAATTCCGCTGAAAGCTATAAAAACCCCCTCAATGAAAGTGAAGATAGAATTTCAGACCTTGAAGACAATATTTCAGCTAGTGAACAGGAAAGGAAAGTTCTTTTAAAAATAACAAGGAATCAGGAAATAACAATTCAACAACTGCAAGATGATGCAAAAAAAAAAAAAAAAAACAACATAAGATTGATAGGGATTAATGAAAAAGAAGGGGATGACATCAAGGACATCAAGAGGATATTCAGAGAAGTAATAGCTGAAAATTTCCCAAACATGAGAATGGAAACTGACATCAGGGTCAGTGAAGCATGTAGAACTCCAAATAGTCATAAACAAAATAAAACTATACCCAGATATATAATAATCACCATCCCCAAAATCCAACCTAAGAATAGAATATTAAAAGCTGTCAGAGAGAAAAGAATGATCACTTATAAAGGAAAACCTATCAGAACCACAGCTGACTTCTCAGCACAAACAATAATATCAAGAAGAGCATGGAGTGAAATATTCCAGATTTTAAAGGAAAATGATTTCCAACCTAGAATGATGTACCCTGCAAAACTGTCCTTCAAAATCAATGGTGAAATGATCACCCAGCCAACCCTGCAAAATATATTGAAAGACACTTTAGACAAACTTAGGAAAAAAACACTAAGCAAAGCAGACAATTAAACAGAACAGAAAGAAAAAGATGCAACAGTGGAAAGATAACATGTCACCAATAAACCAACATATAACCATTGTAACCATTAATGTAAATGGTCTCAATGCACCAATTAAAAGAAACAGACTGGCAGAATGGATCAAGAAACAAAATCCAATCATATGCTGTGTACAAGAAACCTATCTAACCCAAAAGGATATTCACAGATTGAAAGTCAGAGGATGGAAAACAATACTTCATGCAACAGGAACCCCCCAGAAAAGAAGGAGTAGCCATTATCTTAGCAGACAATGTGAACTTTAAATCAACAATGATCAGAAGAGATAAATAATGTGACTACATACTTGTTACGAGAAAACATCAAGACAAAGAGATAACTATCTTAAATATATATGCACCAAATTCCAGAGCACCCAGTTATATAAAACAAGTATTAATAGAAATGACAAATCAAATTATCAGTAATGCAATTGTAAAAGGAGACCTTAACACACCATTGACACCAAGGGACAGATCAACCAGACAGAAAATCAGCAAAGAAATAACAGAACTGAATTACACCTGTGAACAAATGGACGTGACAGACAAATACAAAGTGTTCCACTCAACAGAATCAGAATACACATTCTTCTCAGCAGTACATGGGTCATTCTCTAAAACAGACCATATATTAGCTCATAGAATATATTTAAATAATTGCAAAGGAGTTGAAATTATCCCTTGCATGTTATCGGATCATAGCTTTTGAAGTTAGAAATTAATGATAAAAGATACTGCAAAAATCCCACAACACACAGAAACTGAATACACACTCGAGTAATCAGTGAGTCACAGAGGGAATTAAAGAAGAAATTAAAAAATACCTATAAGCAAATAAAATGCAAATACAACTTACCGGAATCTGTGGGATGCAATGAAAGCCATACTCAGAGGAAAATTTATTGCACTTACTTTCCACATCAGGAAAACAGAACTGAAGCTACACCTCAAACATCTAGAAAAAGAAGAGCAAGTCAAGCCCAAAGCCAAAATAAGAGAAGACATTATAAAAATCAGCACAGAAATCAATGCAATAGAGACTAAGAAAACAATCCAAGGGATCAATGAATCAAAGATTTGGTTCTTTGAAAGAATAAATAAAATTGATAATCCCCTAGCCAGTGTTATTTATAAAGGGAAGAAAAAGCTCAAATTCATGCAATAAGAAATGAAAAAGATGAAATCACTAGACTCTATAGAAATAGAAGATCTTCAACACCTATTTCAAAAACCTTTAGTCTCAAAGGTTTGATAACCCAGAAGAAATAGACAGATTCCTAGAAACATATGAAGTACCAAAGCTAGGTCAAGAGGATGTAAAACTGCTGAATAACCCAATTTCTATTAATGAAATTGAAAATGTAATTAAGTCCTTGCCTACAAAGAAGAGACCAGGCGCAGACAGATTCACTGCAGAATTCTACAAAAATACAAAGAAGACCTAATGCCGACACTCGTCAAACTCCTCAATGAAGTTGAAAGGGAAGAAATAACTATCTTAAATATATATGCACCAAATTCCAGAGCACCCAGTTATATAAAACAAGTATTAATAGAAATGACAAATCAAATTATCAGTAATGCAATTGTAAAAGGAGACCTTAACACACCATTGACACCAAGGGACAGATCAACCAGACAGAAAATCAGCAAAGAAATAACAGAACTGAAGTCATTCCTAAAAGTAAATATTACTCTAGTACCAAAACCTCAGAAAGAACCACCTAAAAAAGATACCTATAGACCAATCTCACTAATGAACACAAATGCAAAAATCCTCAATAAAATATTGGCAAGTAGGATGCAGCAAATAATCAAGAAGATTATACACCATGACCAAGAGGGATTCATCCCAGGCATGCATAGATGGTTCAACATACATAAATCAATAAATGTAATCCACCAAATCAATAAAGCAAAAAGTAGGAATTGCATGATCATTTCTATAGATGCAGAAAAAGCTTTTGATAAGGTCCAACATTCATTCATGATAAGGATTTTACAGAAAATTGGAATAGATGGTCTTTACCTCAATATAATAAAGGCCATCTACAACGAGACAACAGCCAACATCGTACTAAATGGCCAAAAATTGAAGGCTTTTACTTTAAAATCAGGCTCAAGACAATGATGTTCTTTATCAACACTCCTATTTAATACAGTACTGGAAATACTAGCCAGAGCATTTAGACAAGAGAGAGACATAAAAGGGGTAAAGATAGGAAAAGAAGAAGTTAAATTATCATTGTTTGCATATGACATGATACTCTACATAGAAGACCCCCTAAACTCCATTGAAGGACTCTTAGACATAATAAATAAATTCAGTAATATAGCTGGATACAAAATCAACACTCAAAAATTAATAGCATTACTATACACTAACAACAAAATCACAGAAAGAGAAATCAGAAGCCACACCCTTCACACTAGCAACCAAAAAAATGAAATATTTTGGAATTACTCTTATGAAAGAAGTGAAAGACTATACAGGGAAAATTATATACACTGAAAAAAGAAATTGAAGATGATCTCAGAAAATGGAAAGACATTCCTTGCTCATGGATAGGAAGAATAAATATTGTGAAAATGGCCATTCTCCCAAAACTTTTATATAGATTCAATGCAATCCCAAAAAAACACCACCAACATACTTCATAGATCTAGAGAAGTCACTCCTAAACTTCATCTGGTGTGAGAAGAAACCTAGAATAGCAAAGACAGTTCTAAGCAACAAAGGCAAGGCAGGAGGCATCACAATCCCTGACTTGAAGTTATACTACAAAGCAACCGTAGTAAAATCAACATAGTACTGGAATCAAAACAGAGTCAAAGATCAGTGGAATAGATTAAAAGATACAACCACAACTACAAACACACTCAATCACCTTATCTTTGATAAAGGAGCCAAACAGGTTCACTGAAAGAACGATAGCCTCTTTAATAAATGGTGCTGGAAAAACTGGCTCTCCATATGCTGAAAACTAAAACTAGACCCATGCCTATCACCATGTACTAAATTAAAATCTAAATGGATCAAAGATCTGAATATTAAAACAGAAACACTAAATCTATTGGAAGACAAATTGGGTAAAAACCTTGAAGACCTAGGGGTAGGTAGAGAATTCATGAGCAGGACTCAAACCACATGGGAAATACTTCCCAGAATCAATAAGTAGGATCACCTCTTATTGAAAACTTTCTGCATGTCAAAAGAAATATCCAGCATAGTGAAAAGAAAACCCACAAACTGGGAAAAAATATTAGTGAACTCTCCCTCAGACAAAAGACTTCTGTCTAAAACATAAAAAGAATTTTTTAAAAAATCAGACCCCCAAAATTGAAAGATCCAATCCAAAAATGAGCATCTGAAATGAATACACACTTCTCAGATGAAGAAATATAAATGGCAGATAAATACATGAGAAAATGTTCATCATCATGAATCATTAGAGAAATGCCAATTACAACCACACTGAGATTTCATCTCACTCCTGAAAGAATGGTCAGGATCAAGAAAACCATCAACAACAAATGCTGGAGAGGCTGTGGGGAAAAAGGAACTCTCCTGCACTGTTGGTGGGAGTGTAGACTGGTACAACCAATGTGGAGGTCAGTCTGGAGACTTTTCCAAATGCTGGGTTTGGAAGTTCCATTTGTTCAGCTATCCCACTTCTAGACATATTCCCTGAG